GACCACATATGGAGAGACTAGAAAAAAAATAGAAAACTCCTAGTCAGAAATTTAAGATAAGATCTTCCTCCATTTTTTTTCCCCAAAACAAAATATACCTTAAAATTTTGTGAAGGACATGCAATTTAGTATTTCACCTTTCTTTGTCTCCCTGACAAAACAACATATATAGAGACTTCATCCACAGATCTTTTTCTGGACATCCCTGAGGAAAGCTCAGCCACTGCTAGAACCTCACTAATAATTTTGAGGTAGAAGAGCAAAGTGTGCATGAAAGCAAAAACTGATCTCGTATCCAAACTAACAGAGACACAAAAAATGTCTTTCCTTATCAGCCTTCTGAGTCTTCCCTACAGACCCTCCTTGCATTTTCTTGATGACAGAAAGGTGACAAGCAAAAGGAGGCAATGATTATTCTTACAAGAACTTTGTATTTCAGTCTAGTTTGGGGGGTTTTTTTCACTTGTCAGATGCCTCATAAATCAGTGTCCTTTCTGCAGGATATCCTTCTTATATACTGCTTAAAATAAAATAATGTCCTTCTAAAAGCCAAATGCCTGTGGTGTTTCTTGGTGTGGACAAGGGAATGCAGAACAATTAAAGAGAGCTGCTGTGCTCAGCCAGCAGAGACATTCTGGGGTCTCTGAGACTACAACCTAGGACTTCAGTAGACACGGGTGTTTAACTGCATCAGGAAGGTCCCCACTCCTGTTCTGAGCAACATGCATCTAGGAGAGGTCAAGAGCAGTGGCACTCACGGTGAATCTGGTGTGCCATATGCTGTGTACTTTCTCAGGACTGTTTTGGAAGTCTGTGTCCTCAAGTGAGCAATTAATCATGTTTATTCTTTCCAAGTCCCTAAAAAACCCAAAATGCAAGAATTACTTACCTAAACTGAGTTCCTGATCCACTCACCCTAGCTGGCAACTAGATGCCAGCTTTTTGTCAAGGGCTATAGTATATACAGAGGGGGAAGAGATGTCATGGTAGATTTGAAAAAATGCAAAAGAGGTAAAATAAAAAACATGTAATAAAACAATACAGTCTAAGTATATTAACAAGATAAAAAAACCCAGGTAGTCAATTAATCAGTTTTCTGATTTTTATGTCACAAACAGTAACTAAGCTCCTAATATCTTCTGTTTGAGCTGATTGAGAAATTCTTAAATACACACAGAGTCACAGGGAACTAAGCTCAGCTTTCTTCCAGTTCAAGGGTCTGTTCTTGTAAATTAAGATTTCAAGGCTGAGGCATAGAGATTTTCTAAACTTCATTTGAAATCTTTTCAGCTTCTCATGTAATGATATTCACAACATTTTAAGGAGACAAAAAAAAGGACTTGGGACAACAGTGTCGTGTTTGTTGATACATGCTGATAGATTTGAAGAGCTGCTTTCTGGTAGGGACCATTACAGCATTTTGACTGTTCTGACATAAATCTGAGATCATTATATTTCATCTGATTTTCACTGTATTCAACCTAAAAACTTCCATGTCACTCAGTTGCACAGAATAGGTGGTGTGTATATATTGTACGTGTTCATATAGAACAGTACAAGTGAATAATAAGGTTTAGCACTGAAGTGAGGGTTAGATTTGGCAAACAAGACGATTCAACCTAATGAGCTGAGGAAATATTTTCCAAGGGAGCAATTCACCTTAAACGCTGTGGGGCGTTTCTTTCTAAAAATCAATATTAAGGATGAAAAATTCAGTCTTAATTTAAATCTGAGGGCTAACTCAAAAAATTAGTAGACTGAAGCTAGTTAAATACAGTAGTGATTGTGTTCCCAAGTGGCCTGCACAGTTGCAATAATAAGACCATATTAAGTTCTTCCAGGCTTCTCTTGCTCTAGGGCTGTCAGGTATCATCTGGATATGTTTGACTTAATGTTATGAACAACATGATGGTTAGAGAAAAGGTAGAAGGAAGAGCTCAGTCAGACAGAGACTAACAAAATCATTTTGGCATTCGTAGAAGTGGCACTTACTCATCTTGTTTTGCTCAACTGAGCTTCTAGTACTCCTACCAGAAGGAAACAGGAGTAACCCAGCAGCCCGGTCACTGCTAAATCAGCCATGGCCCCACACAGATGCTGAAACTGATGGAAAAATGAGTCCTCAAACAACATTAGTTTTCCATTTGTATAAGAATTCATGTGAACCGTGCAATTGCCTAAGACTTCTAGTCTGAGCTGATCCCTAAAATGAGCCTTAACTGGAAGCACAACTTGTGGCAGCCTCAGAAATAATGTTTCAGGAAGAACCAGTTTTATTTCAGCACTTCAAGCATCTCTTGTCATAGCATTTAATCCATTTCTCACACTCTTCCTCTTCACATATGTCCCTCTATAGGCCTCTAGTTTAGCATTAGTCCTGTCCCAATAATCCCAAAATAAAAATACAAACTGCTGATACAAAGATGTACCTGTCATCAGTAAAGCTGTCAGTATTTCAAATTATATACTCCCTTAGCCAGTGGTCCCTTAGCCATATCCTTATATATAAAACTATGTAAAAGGTCACAAGGCTCTAATGGCAAGTATTACTGTTGTTTCACAGTCTCACTGCTTCAGGCTAGCTTATCCACAGATTTGGGTTGAGAATAGTTGCCTGGAGTGATTCTGATTCATTCCAAATCAGAGAAGGAGACATCAGTTAATGAATATGGATTTACTTGCTCTCTTCTTTTCCCTTCTTCATTTCCTTTCTTTTTTTTTTCTATACAGCAATAGCATCAAGCTATAGCCCATGTGATTAAAATATAATACTGGACTCTAACCTTAACTCGAACCCAAGTTCTTGAACTCACCATCAGACCTATACCATACTATATCAAAGAAAGAAGACCAACATAAGAAAAAGCTCACCTTTAGCAGCCAGGAATTACCCACATTCCTCAGCCTCTGCCCAGTTCCAGTACAAAGACATATATATATATATATATATAAAGACTAGGCTTAAGGTTCAGAAAATACAAGCTGGTGAACTAAAGGATATCTTTCTAAATATACAAACTGTCTAAGCCAGGAAGAGATTTTTAGTTTGCATCTCCTAGAGCTTTTAATTTTGAAGCTGAAGGCGCTTTGCTTGAGGAAAGACTGTTCCTACAATCAAAGCTGTGGTTCTTCTGAAATAAAGGATGATGCACTTTTATGCCACATATATGAGATTTCACTTCAAGATTTAATTCAGAGCTAGTGTCTCATGCCACCAGAAGAAACAGCAAGTAGACTCAAGCCACTACCCATTCTCATGAGATGTCTCCAGCAACTACCTGTTTACTGAATGCTGTTTCAACACAGTCCCTGATCCAAAACATGTACTAGAGCTTAGCACTGGACTTGTCCAACCTACTAGTTCCCACACTAGACTTGTACAAAGAGGCACCTGTCCTTAACTTAAGCTGTAGACTACTCCTACAAATCAAACCAAAAGAAAAAGCCCCAAACCCCACCTTTTCACTGTTTTATGCATTTACCCTAATCTTTACTATAATCCTGAATTTAATGATCAAAATCCAGCCATCAAGACCCGTGCCCTAACAATGGCTAGTACTGATTGTGGCATCTAGGTCACATTGCTCACCAAGTGCTAAAGCATAAATGTTTTATACAAGTCACTCAGTGTGTGAGGAAGAAAATCCTTTATAGCAGTCCACACTTAGATATTCTCTTTGCATGTGGAAAAATGGCTTATTGCAGGAATTTGTAAGTATATGTGTGTGCATGCATATATGTATGTGTCTCTGTCTGTATGAAAACTGTTTCCTCTATCAGAGGTAGTTCCTGTTTTCACCATTTCCCACTGGGAAAAAATTTAAAACAGTGTGTAGGCAAAATAATATCTCTGTTTGAAACCAATTTCCTATCATCTCACCACTTCTCACAGTTAGGAACAAGTGCTATATGTCCCCCACCAAATAACTGGCATTACACTCTTTTCAGCCTAGAAGTACTGTGAAATATTACATGTAAAGCTGCAGAAGTGCTTAGGTACTACATACCAAGTAACTCCAATTTCAGTGGGATTTTTAGGCATGCACTGACAGCACATAACATATTGTTGCCCTCGGAGTGCATGTCTCAACTTCTTGGCTGAGACACCAGCCACCTCTTCCCATACCTCCATGCACATGTGCTTCTGTGGGGAGGAAGAAGATGCCCACGCAGGCTGGAACGAAGTTCTGTGACTTTCAGCCAAGCGTGGAGCTAATAAACACTGCTGTTGGGTCTACAGGGTGCTCCATGCTTTCTCCACAAAGAAAGATTTTTGTTATCATGTTTAAGTTACAAGTGGCATCTGTTTAAAGCTAATTGGATGCTGAAAACTTTTAAATTATTTTGGAGATGGGCTCTAATATAAATTAAGAAAACTTTTTTCTTAATTCAAAACATACAAAGAATATGTTTCTCCATGCAACTTACAAACGTATTTTGAAAATGTAGCAGGGCAAACATGGTTTATACCTATATACTATGGCAGAAATCCAATATTCATTTGCTGTTCATATTGCAAGAAAATGAGATCATTAAGGTCAGAAAGAACAGCTGCTTTAATTATAACACCCTGATATATCATATCAAAGTTTTCATCATCTCACACAAACTCTAAGAACATACTCCGGGGATTCATTTCTATCATCCTGATTTTTTCTTCGGAAGGAGATTGCATAAATACACTCTCCAGAGCACTAATTGCTTCAAGTTGTGTGAGGCTGTGTATAAGAATTTTACCCCAAGCTTGATAATGCTACGTCAGCTAAAATTATTCTAACTTTTACAGTCTTTATTCCTCTTTTTGTGGTGGCAGCAGTAGAAAAAGATATTTTTGACAGCTGGGAAGCTGCCCTGCAGGCTTCATGGTCTTGCTGCCACACATCCCCACAGGCTCCTGCTCAGGAGTGCTGTCTCCACACCTACAGCTGGCAACACTGGTCTGCCTGAGGCACCCAAAGGTATCCCTTCCTTAAGGGAATGGCTGCTTTGTGTTTTAACAGATGCTATGCTTCTGGTAGCGGAGAGATTAGAGGGACCATTCAACATTGAATCAGTCATGGATCCTATTGATGTCAAGATTTCTGAAGCCATCATGAACATGCAAGAGAACAGCATGCAGGTGTCAGCAAAGGTACTGTGTGAGTTGTGCCTTCTCTGTTGTTAAATGCCACAAACCGGGAGGGGGGGGAGGGGAAACACCTCCACCAGTTTTTCTTTTAGACTATTAAGAAAGATTGTCCAGACCACCAGAAATTGTTTTTCCTTGTTGAACACTTTACCAGACTGCCTTTCTTCATTCTTCATCTAGTTAAACAAGCTCGAACTTTTCAAAAAGAAGTGGAAGGGAGAAAGGTACCATTTATTAAACTTCAAATTAATAGCTGCTAGAGATTTGAGGAAAATAGAGACTGCTGAATTCTGTAAGCAGTAATTCTGTAAGCAATAGCCTGCAGAGTACACCTGGTAACTTCCACTCGTGTCTCGTCTGTGATTCTCCATATTAACTTCCAAACACATTTTGATCTATCTAGGTCAGACTGAAGTGCAATGTGTTTGAGGTGAATACACAAAACGTTTTGTTTAACCTCCTTTAATAGCCACTCGGGGGAAATATTACCCTGGACAGTCTCTGATTACCAGATCTCAGTTTGAAAGAGTTTTGTCTGGATTCTGACATAAAGATAAACAGAGCTAATGATACCAGCTTCTTCCTTTCCATTTTTAATGTGTGTGTGTATACACAGATCACCACCAACTCTGAACCCCCTGTTAAAAAGATCCTTCAAATTCAGTAGGAGGTGCTATTGAGCCAATAGTCAACAATTAATGGCTCTTCCTTAATATTCATCAGTGCACTGTTGCTGAAATTTTAAAGTCAAGAGTTTGCCACGTTCTCTGCATTAGGAGTTTCTATCTTGCATTTAACTCCCAGTAGTCAGTTGGGTGCTGGCCAGACTGCCATCTGAGTCAGTGAATTTCCATGGCATGGAAGGAAACTGCTGTAGCTGGGAAAAATGTGGGGACAAAAGGCAGAAGGCTGAGGTTAATATTCTTCCTGCCAACCCAAATTACATGCTTTTTATGGCCCCAGTGCTACAGGTTTCTAAGGGTTTCTTTCAAGATGCTTTTTACTTTCAACCTACATGATGCTTCTTGGATTTTAAAAGCAGACTACATCCTGCATGATGAGACTTTGTTCTGGCAGCAGTGATCAAGTGATCCCAAATATTTTGGGAATTAAAGGCCAGCTTCAGCAAGCTCAGCCCTTACCTAACAAAAAAATATTTTCATTGAAAACTCACCCAAGGCCCAAGTGTAATTTTCCTTTTTACTTGTTTGGTTTTCACAGTTTTTCCATTAGTTGGGAAGCTGCATCCCCTGCCAGAGTCCAATGACATTTTGGCATGAGCTCATCTCACTACTCATTTATAGAAGAGCAGACTGTTTCTCCTGCCCCTCACAAATATTTGCTGTAGAGATTGATTGCAATACCATTTGCAATGCAAAAGCTTTTCCTCTAAGAGAAACCTTAGCCAATAATTTTTTAAATAATGCAGAACAGTAAAGAAATTATATTAGTAAAATTTATTGTATTATATTTTCATAGATAACAGAGCTGCCCATCCTTGAGGGACCTGTGTATATTTCTGTGTAGACCATTATTCTCCTGAAATATGATTTCCTTGATCTCCTTAGTTATATCAATCTTTATTCAGGTCACATGAAAATGCTCTTTTCTTAAAAAAAAAAAAAAAATGTGTAAGAAGGCAAAGGCTTTGGGCTTAGTGCTATGCTCTTCTTTGCCATGTCAGATCTGTAGAGATGATAAATGAGCAGACTTCGAATCAGTCCTCTATTGTCTAATTTTTTCCCCATATACATACTGACCACTTAGAGCTTCAGTGAAAATGACAGATACCTTGCCAGATGTAATGGGGTGCACGGAATGCAATTGCAGACCTAATGTGGGAGAAAAGCCATGCTTGTCAATTATTCTGAGATGCTGCTCAGAAAGCTTCAGGCAGAGTGTTGAAATCATGTTATTTTCACTTTCTTCGAACAATTTTGTATCTTGTATTTGAGTGTACCTACTGAAAAATGTGGTGACTAGGAATCACAGCTATTTTTCCACAAGTCAGTCAGTGCCTTTTTACAGTGGGAAAATGGCAATGCACTAATAATGTTATGACTGCAACACCCACATACACACAGATTATTTTTCACCACTGACATGCAGCCTTTTCTGGCTGAAAATCTGGTTGATGTCTGAGAGAAGGCTCTATACTGTATACGGCAGAATTTTGGATCACGTTGTATAATGTTGTTTCTCTTTTAAAAAGAGTAGAAAAAATGAAAACAAAAAGTTTCTTTCTCAAGGAGCTCTCACCATTTCATACTCTTTGTGGGCTGAAGACCCAGAATTCATTTAGTCAAATCCACATGCTCCTGTTTCAAATATTTATATAAAATTGCCCTATTCCAAAAGTCATTAACATTATCTTGCACTATGAATTTGTCTTTGTATCACAAAATTATATTTTGTATTATACCAACTGCAATTATATATTGAAGTTTATTTGATAAAAATAGATTTTTGATATAATACCATGACTGTCCATTACTATTCATATGGAGGCACAATTAAGTGAGCAACAATGTACACTTTCCAGCATAATAAGTGTATACAAATAAGTAACAATGCATGCTCTCATATGAATGAAGTCTTCAATTTTAAACATCAGCAGAAAAATACAGCATGAACTTTCTAAGTCTCCATTTTTATGGTTTGGCCCTTCATTCTTCACTTGATGTAGTACTGAAGGCGTTATCCAGTATCTTTTCCTTATAAATATGCACCTTCTATTCAGCACTATTTTTCTCAGAAATAGTCTTCATGATTACAGTTATATTAATAAATAAAAGGGGTAAAAGGACCATGCTTGATCTTGGGGCCAAAGTGTCACAGTCTGATTCATTTATGCACTGCTGAGAGCTACCTTCTCTGGAGCTGTTTCATTCTGCCAAGAGCAAGTTGGAGCAGTCCAAGAAATAGCCAACAAGTTAGCAATTAATCAGTGCAGACAGTCAAAGCTTATGGCTTGAGTTCACTCCTTGTCTCTCATTTCCTTAGAAGACAAAAACCCTCTGTCTTCCGCTCTTGATGGGTCCACAGAAAGAGAATTATAGAGACAGAATTATAGAGATGCCACATGTACCAACCAAGGACATACAGACTCATCCATATCCCAGTATCTGTCAATGCATAAAATGGAGCATCTCTGTTCCTAGGCCGTTAACTTTTTTTGTTTCTGTGATGATCATGGCTGATTCTTCTAGCACAGTTCACATTAACCAGGTACTATTATTATGTTAAGATCCAATTCCTCCTGAGGCTGCGATCTTTCTGTTTTCTTAATATTTGTCTGCAGTTTATATTCAGCACTGGCAGTCTAGAAAGTCTGACCCCAAATCTCTAAGCTTCATGGCTGCTCACCTTGCACATCTGTCATGTCCCTGAACGACAACCACACAAGGTCCTTATTTTGCCTCAGGGCAAGTCCTATTCCTGACAGCTGTGGTAACTGGAGATACTTGTCAAAAAAGGATCAATGGTCTAGGAAGTCAGACCTTAAGGCCCATGGCCTTTCTGCAAGAGAAATCTATGTGCTCTAAAGCAGACTGAAGTTTCCCTTCTCCATAAAAAGACAAGGACTGAAGATCATCAAAAACAGTTTCCATAAATTCATCATCTAACACCTGCAGCCATTCTTAGAGAGCACCTTCTGCAAACCAAACCACACAGAGTGCAAAACAATTAGCCTGAGATGCCTCCCAAGACATCGATACATGTTAGTAGGCTGTGTGATCTGGGTCTAGCCAGACTACAGTGGTGTTCCCTGAAGGTTGCCTGTGGCAGTAGTCAGGGTGGAATAGATTTACCTTGGATTTCTTCTTATAATATCTGAGACAGGTTATCTTCTTTATTGAAATCTTTTTGTTATTTGCCAGTGACACCTTTTTGGTATTTGAACAATATAACGACAAACTCAGCAACATGTTGATTGTTTCTCAGGCAAAATTTTTACATTTTGTATGTTGTTTCCCACAGCTCAGCCCATATGCAAGACTTGGTCATAGCATACATTTACCCTATTCTCACTGAGGAAATTCAGGTAGTCGTATTCAGAGACTCATAACATATAAATGCTCATTTCAATCTTGGCCAAAACATGTATGTTTTGAGGGCCTTCATATTTTTCCTGTAAGGCTGTTAGTACTATTGTCTTTCATTCCCACTTCAAGTCAAAAAGTAAATGCTACAACTGCTCCATTTTAACAACATGAATGTTTACTGGTTGACGTCTGCAGATATTGGTCATTCACGAGAAGTGGAGGGAAACTCAAAAAACAGCAGAAAAGATGTGATAACATCCTTTTTTTTTTTTTTCCTTCAAAATGGATAAAATTCCTGGTCTGTTTGCATCGGCATAATCGTGTCTTTGTGGCTACTCAAAACATGACATACTGGACTATTTTCTGCATTTAAAACAGTTTGGTTCTATACAGGTATGTTTGACTGCAATATGAATCATTTCGCTGCCATGACAAGATTTTTCCACTTTCATAAAGTCTATCTCACAACTGAGTTTCCCTTAGTAAGTCTTAAATCTACTTTTATCTGAGCTGATGGATGTGCCATTTTAACCTATAGATATATGTTCCTTCTCAGCAATTACTTCAGCTAAATGGATGAATGAGTTCCATGACATAGCAGACTACCTATGCATTATTTATATGGAGGAAATCTTCATAGAACTACATCCAAGGTTCTTCTTAAAATAGTTCACGAGTTTCATACTAAGAAAACCTCTTCATTTATCTGTGTTCTTTCCAGAGCTCTGTGTAGGAAAAATATAATGGCATTTCAAGTGAAAAAAATCAATGCTGTTCTATCAGAAGATGAGTCAATGGAGCAGAGTCGTATAGAAACACTCAACTGGAAACACTGAACACTAGCACATGGCTAAGTAACAGTATGACTCAAGACTTCATAGAGAACAAACTATATCCTCCACAAAAATTAAAAACTTCCAGATCTCCTGGGAAAAGGACTCTCTTTTTTACAGTATCTACATCCTAGTCCTGAAATAGATACCTCCATTTAGTCAGCTCAGTAGATGTTATTCTTCATTGGCTCTGTTGACTTGCTCTCACTGCTTGGTTCATATCCCTGACCATAGAGATCTGGTCCATTTGAGCTTTAACTGCAGTTCAGTGGGGAGTGGTTTTGTGTTAAGACAAACTACTACAGATGCTGATAAGTAAGAATCTCAAGGAAGATTTTGATCTCCACTGTCTAAAATTGAAGCTTAGATGTATAACTTAATAACACATATTTGTCCACACATAAATTTAGGTTTCCTAATTTCAAATGGAATCCATTCCCTAAATTACAGTACCTGATTCCCTAAATAGACTGCACCAATTATATATAAAATGTATTTTTTTACTGAGAGTGGATTTATGTTACCATTTCATGTGTTTCTTCTTAGGAAACATTTGTTAATATCCATCATAAGGTTTACCGTTTCTGTTCTGCCAGTTAATACCAGGATGCAAATTAAAAATGTCTCTTGCACGCAAAATTTAGTTACCGAATATTGTATTCTTACTGCATTTATGCCAGGTCATTTAAAAAGTAAGTTATTTCTTCTTCTGTGATGTAAAAATTACTATCTAGTTTGCATTGCTGTTATTGTCTGACTGTATGTAACATTGTTCATATAAACCCACTTGCTACAAATATTTGTATGAAGCTAAATGCCACAAAGTCTATTTTGGGGTTTTTTCAGTATGTAATAAGAAAGATGAAATATAAATTATGTAGACTTAGAGTTGCACCACATGCTCATACAAGTAGCCTAACAGTCACACACTGGAACATTTAAGAAGTGCCCTCACTTTCACCCGAGAATCTAGTTGCATGTTTTAGATGATTGTCCCTTGTCTTTGTAAGGAAATTCCTAATTGCTTAGTTGAGTAAATGGGATTTCATAGATATCTAAGTAAACAATTATGTTTTCAGCATATCACTTATCTTGAGTCAGAAGAAATGTAAGTAAACTTTTGTAAGTGTAATTCATGTCCTCAACATTTATCTCTGGTCCTTTAAATTGTACAGTATCCCACATAATCATGTATAAATTCTGAATCCTGTAATCCTATAATCTTCATTGAATTTTCTTCACAGAGGAAAAATAATGCTCTTTCTGATTTAAAAAAAAAAAAAATCACCCACAAAAAACCCCAGAAGTTTGCAAACTAAATTCATCTTTCTTTGTTGATTAAGTTAATTTATTGTCCAATAGTCCTCATGACTAGGGAGGCTAGAAAATTTTAAAACGAATATTTGCAAACCAAACCAAACAGTATTCCACTCATAAATTAAAAATCCCAATGGCCATACAACAGCTGACTTGCTGGACTTCGAGCAAAAGCAGACCTGATGATTTGACATATATTTAGTATGAATCAGCTTTTTTCAGCAAATTTTGAATCATTTGGGGCGTTTAAATTAACATCAGGAAACCTAACTGAAAGCCAATTGTAATTTCTCCTGAAAGAAACAAAAGTCACACCATGCATGGCTACTTCAGGACAGAACCACTCAAGGCAGAAAATCTAAAAGTCCAAAAGTGAAACATGAGTCTTTTGAATATGCTTACAACATCACTTGTGAGCTTGTTGTCTTGTTTGCCACTAAAGTGGGTTGACCATGGCTGGATGCCAGGCAGCCATCAAAGCCACTCTATTACTCCCCTCTGCATCTGGAGAGGGGAGAGGAAATATAATGAAAGGTTCATGGGTTGAGATAAGGACAGGGAAAGATCACTCACTAATTACCGTCATGGGCAGAACAGACTCAGCTTAGGGATATTAATTGAATTTATTAATAACAAAATCAGAGCAGGATAATGAGAAGTAAAATAAATCTTAAAACCATCTTCCCCCACTCCTCCCTCCTTCCCAACTCTACCTGCTCCACCCCCAGTTGCTCAGGGCGATGGGGAATGGGGATTACAATCAGTTCATCATGCATTGTTCCTGCCACTGCTGCAGGAGAAGAGTCCTTCCACTACTCTAGCTTGGGATCCCTCCCACAGGAGACACTCCTCCATGAACTTCTCCAGTGTGAGTTCATCCCACAGTCAACAGTTCTCCACAAACTACTCCAACGTGGGTCACTATTCCATGGGGTACAGTCCTTCAGGCACAGGCTGCTCCAGCGTGGGTCCCCTACAGGGCCACAGGGCCTACGAAGAAACCTGCTCCAGTGTGGGCTACTCTCTCCACAGATCCACAGGTCCTTGCCAGGACCCTACTCCAGCACAGGCTTCCCCTGGGTCACAGCCCTTTCTTGGGCATCCACCTGCTCCAGAATGGGATTCTACCATGGGCTGCAGGTGAATCCCTGCACCCCGATGGTCCTCCATGGGCTGCAGGGGCACAGCTGCCCCACCATGGTCTGCACCACGGGCTGCAGAGGAACCTCAGCTCCAGTGCCTGGAGCACCTTCTCTCACTGATCTTGGTGTCTGCATACTTGTTACTCTCACATATTCTCGCTTTGCTCTTCTATGGCAGCAATTACATCCACCCAATAACTTTTTTTCCCTTCTTAAATATGTTATCAGAGAGGTGATTCTGTCACTCGTGATTGGCTCAGCTTTGGACAGTGGCAGGCTTGTCCTGGAGCTGCGTGGCATTGCCCCTGCCAGACATGGGGGAAGCTTCTGGCATCTTCTCAGAGAAGACAGCCCGTACCTCCCCTGCTACCAAAACGTGGCCACTCAAACTGGACACAGCTGCAGAAAAAGGAGTAATTTGGTCCTACAACCAAAACACAGCATCTGCATAGTTTTCACCTCCACAAAGCTCGTTCAGTCTGTGTCTGGCATTAGTGTTTTGTAAAATATATCTTACAAGAAATTCTGACATTTAATTTTTTTTTCTTCTGAATGAAGGCAAAATGCTGCAACAGCCAAAATACAATGGTCACAAAAAAATAAAGATGATTCTAGAACTGAAAATGTCAGTATGAAGGCATACGCTAGGATTCTACTTCATAAGAGCACTTGAAAATTTTAACCTTGTGGATATTCTACCTCTTTTCTGATGCGTAGCTTGAGTCTCAATGCCTCTGGGAAATATATTTGATATCCAGTAGTCAAAAGTGTCCTCTGTATCCTTTAGTACCCATCAGATACAAAATACAGAAATTTTTTTCCAAATGAAAGTGTATAAAAAATTTCATAACCCTGAAATTATTATTCTTTATACCTAGAAAACAAACACACTAGCAGAAAATAATTGCCACTATTGCCCACTCAGTGTGCCTCAGGCCTCTTCTAGGGAGAGATTGGTAGGAAATAAGAGAGCTATCCAGTTTTAAGACTGTTCCGTCACTGACCTTTTCTCTGAGACTACAAATAAGATTACAAGCTAGGAAGAGCTATAGGGATTATGAATGACCTCTGATTCTGGGTAAATACCACATTTTAACAAAAGTGAAAACAGTTATCAACTAAGTCCTGCCATGAAGAACATCCTTTTGCTCTTTTCTCTTCCTGGAAAGACAGCAATTAAGATATTGTCCTAAATAAGGGGCTTTTAAGGTCCCTATGTGTTTTTAATACCTTCACCAAGTAATTAATAATGCTTAATTATTTAAATGGAATTTTAATGCAGGCTAAGCACTCAATTCACTATTATAAAACTGTCAATCAAATCTGGTTTAAAATATTCAAAAGAAAGAATAAAGATGCCACAAAATAGCAGCTTCCTTTTTTTTTTTTTTTTTTTTTTTTACAATTTTCATATAACCAGCAATGTCTTTTTCAGATTTTCCAAGGATGTGGCCAACCTAAACCAGCACCTGGTCTGAGATCTTCCCGTTCTGTCCCTGAAAACTTCAACACCCGCTTTAGACCATATAACCCAGAGGAGAGACCTACAACTGCTGCTGGCACAAGTTTGGACAGGCTGGTAAGACAAAATATATTCCAATTTAAAATTAGTAGAAAAGGCTTAATAATATACTAGAAAGTTGCAATCTCTTAATTTAATAATTTCATAATCATTATTCTTTCTTTACCAGCTGTTCCAGCATTCAGTAAATCTTTTTTTCTCCATGGGAAATGGTATAAAATTGCATTGTAGGAGAATAATAGACTCTGTTTTTATGTATTAGAAATGTTAGAAGAGGAAAAGCTCTTTTCTGGAGGCCAAAAACCAGATAAGCCATGGCAGGTACTTTGCAGTATAAATTCTCTTTTAAAAATGATATACAGCAATATTTTAATTTTTTTATTTTATATTAAAAACAAGTTCTTGTGTATTGAGGCCATTTTTATGACTTTATTCTTGAACTAATACACTTGCAAAGGCACATTAGTTTCACTTTTTTATTTAATTATAAAATTAACATTGCTTTATTTCCATCCATCTCAACAATTGATTTTATCAGCTAAAACTGCAGTGATCTTGCTTTACTTATTCAATCATTTTGAAATAAAAAAAAAAAACCTTTAATATAATATTATTTTTTTACTACCAGTCATTGGATGCACATTTAAGACTTCAATGTTCCTGCTATTTATACATCTATAGATTGATAGAAGGCTAATTACTATAACTGTTAATACCATCACAGGACTCCTCTCTAGGTGAAACCAATGAGCAAAATCAAAGGGTTTTAAAGCTTTTGAATTAAAACACACTGTACTGCATGTCCTCAGCTTATGCTGCACACATGCAAAGCACTGGTCCCTTTAGCTGAAGAGAGGAGCACTCAGGGCTATAGCAAGAGTAAGGGGAAAGGAGCACTCATGTTGAAACAGGTGTGGGTATATGGTGAGCTGCACTCCTGGTGGCTGCCAGGCAGCTGCTGACTGCACTAGGGCACCAAAATTTCTTGCTGTGGGTCTGATTGTGAGCCTAAAATGTCTAAAGGTTTCTCCAATATGCAACTTAAATCACTGAGCAGGAACCCAAATATACTAATTCAGATGAGGATCTGGATATCTTCTGGACACCACCATTCATCATATTCATTTAATGATCACAGTAGTCTTTCACAGTGCTAAGTCTTTCCAACCATTTCTATCTATGCTGTATTCTGTCTACTCTATTCTGTCAATCTTCAAGGCAATTCAACAGGAAAGTAACATGGCATTTCTAGTCAAGGCATGGGATTACTAGGCAGCAAAAAGCAACATTTGTTAGTTCTCTGCTCTTCTGGAAACAGTATAGCCTGGTTATCCTAAATGGTGAAGCAGAAAAGATGCTTACCTCCATTGCAAACTTAGATTTTTCTACCACAGCAGGTTCACAGCCCAGTGTAAAATCTCAGGCTAAAAATCTGACTGGTGATGCTCAATACATATTTGATGGGCTCTCAATTTTATACTTTCACTTTATATTCAGAGAACCCTCAGAGTCCTTCTGTACCACTCATAGCAGAGTCCTGAATCTTTATCTAGGATTGGCCAAGGTGAAGTGAAAGGTCACCAAAGCCTTTAGGTTTCAGTCATGCTCTGTCAAAGCTAGAGGTTGCAAACAGCTGAAATGGGACAAAGAATATATAAAAGAAGGCTGATGGCACAGTTCAGTTTGGATTACTGTGATGTTGTAAGAACAGTTCTAGCATTTTTGCAATGAAAGAGGCAGGTTTAAGTGACACTAGATATTGACACAAGAATGCTTCTAAACACATTAATATTGTTTTAAAACTACAAGTTCCCAAAATACTGAGCAGCATCCTGAATAAAGCAACCAGCCTTTAAAGGCTGTAGCTAATGAAAGATAATTCAGTGAAAGGTAACTGTCAAAGCAAATAAACTTTATAACTCCTGATAATTTCTAGACTTTGAAAGGGAGCTTATCTCCATATGATTTAATTTGTTTTGTTCATGCATTATTTCAGACAAAACCCAAAGAGTTTAGTGTTGCTGCTGTTTTTTAATATGTTAAAACAAATTTCCTCTTTGCTGTTCTCGCTGATAGTATTTAAAATAATAACTATTTATGGTCTGTTAGTTATGAGTGTTGGTATCAAATACATCTTCCAATGGCAGTGATGAATGTGTTGTCTCCTTCTGGGCTGAGACCAACAGTACCTCAATTCAGAGATGGCCACTGACCTCATCTGGAGCTGGGAAAGGTTTTTTATGTGGTTTGAAGCAGAAGGCCTTTTTTCAGAGCTGTAACCCCGTAGCAGCACTTGGGAAAGGTCACTGCCTGCATCTCACACTTTCTTGGGTAATTTTATCCAGAAGCATATAAATGCTACACTCCTGCCTCACAGAAACACCATTTAACTGGTCTACATCAGAACCTTAGCATTTCATATGCTGAATCATTCCCTGAATGACATATCTGTCTTCATTAACTATAACCAGAGCTCGGAGGACCAGCTTCATTTAGGTCCTCCTAACCCTTGCATTGCTAACAGGACATAAGGAGAACCCCACTCACAGCAGTTTTCCTGTCTACACACTGGTCATTTTCTATTGCTTACTTAATATAAATATACTGCAGTATTGGTATTTTGATGGTAGTGTCAAACAGTTAAAGATCCTTTTGATTACCATACATATAATAAACAAGTCTTTCTTGAAGTCAGCTGACTGTTCAGTGTTATGTTAATGCTTTTAGAAGTCTATTCTGGAGTTTGTATTCATAAAACGCTGTCAGACAACTTAAATCTGAACTGTCATTGCAAAGTCCAAACATGCAGTTACAGAAACCCCAAAAGAAGTGACAAACAATTCTGCTTTTATCTGTCTTTGACAGGAGAAAAAAACAATTTTAGAAAATACTTCCTCTGTGTCTCAATCTTATACAAAAATGTAGCACATCTAAACCATTTTTTTTTCTCCTGCTCATAGCCCCATTTCTGAGCTCAATTCAGTTAAGCATATTTTATCAGGTATGTTGCATAAAGCAGTCCTTATAAGAAACCTGCACTGAAATCACCCAGTACTGAACCCATCTGAGAAAGCGTTCCTTCATCCTTGCCTGAACTATGTGATTAATCCAGCTCTTCTGTTCCAAAATGAGAGAAAGTGGATTCCCTGTGTTATTGCCATATCTGTAACAAGTAAGGCTTTACAAATAAGAAGTAGCTCACAATAAATTATGAGAAATATGCAAAAATATTAAATATACCCCAAAAGCCATAGTATATGTGGCTTCAAAAGCATCAGATGTATTCAGGAAGCTATGTAGAGCTTGAGAGACTTATTGAAGCATTGATGTAAAGCATCATCTGAGACATCTCAGAGTATCTGAAGTATGGGACCAGCAGATATGACACAGAACTAGGAGAGACAAGTATAGTTCTGGAGCAGCAGTGGGGAGCTGGCTAGGATACACTACAGCAGCTCAAGCAATTCAGGTTACTTATGCTAAGGCATTTCAATCACACCGTCACAGTATTGGGCTCTCTCTGAAGTCAGTGTAGAGAGACAAACACTTATGGGGAGTGATTCACCCCACATGGCACAGACGTTTCTCTCAGATTGGGAAAAGACTGGGTAAAGAAAGGCGTGATTGCTATACCCACATGTAGATATGCAAGACTGAGATGCCTTGGAGTTTATAAGACATCTAATTGAGCTGGTAGATAGGACAGTTATTTGGGATGCTTATGCCCTTCTGGATTGGCAGCTGAAGTCTGGATGGAACACCCTAGAGGATGTCCACTATGTGGCATCCAAGTGGGAAAACAGAACTGAGGCCCAGCTCTTCTCTGCGGGTTCCACTGGGTGAAATTCAGCTACATGAATATAGTCACCCAATGATCTCAGAGACGCCATGGTCTTTAAGATGTCCAAAGGTGAAAGTGAAGTCATAGGAGACCTGGTTGGAAGTAAGATAGAATATCTTAGAACTACTAAATCCACTTGCTCTGTCTATATTTAGATAACTGTATTCCACCCTATTTCTCTACTGTAACAAGCAAATGAGGGCTTTTCTGATTCAGTATAGAGATCCATAGTGCAGATACCTATAACCAGCTGTCCAGATTTGAGTCTGGATGGCTGTATTTTTTACTGCTAACACAGAGAAATAAAGGCCTTCTTTCAGTTTTCTAAGCATGGGTTTAGGCAACTGAATTGAGATCAAATATTTCTAAAGCACAATTCATCTCATCCTAAAGAATATATTTGAACAGTTTAGAGAAATGTTTTCATATCCCTCTACTACAAAGTGACAACCTTAGTTTAGGCATCTAGCAAGTACACCTGAATATAAGTAAATTTAAAAACTGTCAAAATTTAAATAATTTTAACCACTGAGCTCACCTGCTTCTGTAGAGCATGATCTAAAGTTTCTCATTTAAAATCAACTGCTTATAAAGATTCATTATCTTCTCTGTGGTTGCCTGTTTGGTATAACCTGTGGTTTATTTTGTTTTGTTTTGTTTTGTTTTTCTGTTCCCTGAATCTGTTTCCCTCTTGCTTCCCAGAGGACTATCTGGAGGACAATGCAACATGGTGTAAGCTTTGGTATTCTTATTCTTCACTTCATACCCATTTGTCTTTGTACAATGCTGGACAAAACAGTTGTTTAAGTTTCATCTTCACCATCTTTACTTTGTGTGTGTGTGTGTGTCTTGTGAGCTAAAATGCTAGCAGTTCTTTCTGTAATTTTGTAGTATGGCTGATTTTATTCTACCCAGTGCCCAGAGCTGCCGGAGCCTTTCACTATTTTTTTTCTCACCTCAAGGATGATGCCCTGCCCAAGAAAGGAGTGTATGCATTCCCTTAGTGAACTAAAAACTGACGTAAGCATCTCCACAGTTTCAGACCCCACAAATGCATGTGGAGCAAAGCAGACACTGTGCAGTGGCATTCCGCTCTGAGTCTTGTGCCTGGAGCAATGGAAATGAGCTCCCAGGTCTTCCTGGGCTCTCTCCATAGAATTGTCTGTGTCTTGCTGTCCAATCCCCTTATGCTTTACAGCTTCAGAAGTTTTTGTTCCTGTTAGAGGTCCCTGGTTTCAGACAGAAAACCTTCCTCAGTGGGGTTCATTCAGCACAGCCCAAGGGAAAGGCAGGAACACAGCACCACACAGATATGCATTTAGCTTGGACTTAATAGTCCAACTTCATAGGAGGGCTAATTAGCTGACAGAGAGCACCATGCTGATACAGCCATACTGGCTCAAGTACCTCTGTATCCACCGCATCACTGTGCAGCACCGTGCTGTCTTAATTCAGCTGGAATTTCTCCTGAGATCATACTGCAGCCCAGTCTAGCTGGACGTGTATAAAATAATTCCAAGGTTTTTTTCAGGAGATCACGGAAGCTTTCTTGATTTTCCACAAGGGAGCTGTTGCACTATTAACCACATAATACATAATGTACGTGCATACTGCGGAGAAAGGTGACTCAGAAATTGGCTGCGGCACTATGCAAGAGATTTACATTCAAGTACAGTATAGTGGCTGCATAGATAACATGCACCCAGTCTGAAAAAGAACACCTTTCATGCTCTTTACCCTGGGGAGGGGAATATACTTTGTTACATTTTGTAGGAAAATGTTATTTTAGAGTCACTCCTGCTTTCCCTAAAGTGACAGTAAAGAAAGTGACATTTCCATAAGGAAAATGCCCTGAACCACCTTTTTTAGGAATAAAGTAGGATGTACTTTAAGTGTCCATTCAGTCATCTTTTTGATTTTTTTATTCCATTGTGTAATGACTTTTGTCATAATAAAAAAAAAAATTTGATAGCAACCTAACAAATCTGTTGTGAACAATTCCTTTCCAGTGCTCCAAAACTACATGAAATAGAAAATATGATTTAAAAAAAAATACAATCTGCTTTGCATTTTAGTTATAGAAAACTAAAAGTAACAGGACATTATTCAGACGCTGATCTGAATTGCCCAGAGAATCCTCTGGGGCATTCCTGAAAGTAGTTTTGGTTTCAGTTGTTAGAATCCATTTAGTCCAGAATCTGGAACTGTTAAATATATGCAGTAATAATGCAATTTTCTTGAGGTAGGATGTTTATCCTCAACATTTTTTTTCTCAAGAGACCCTAGAATAATATCCAGTGGGTATAAATCTTGGACAGTTTAAAATCCTGAGATTATTTTCCGAATACCTTAAGAGTGAAGATGACAGGCTCACACAGGTGTTTTAGGAACCCACTGGCTTCCCACAGGCAATGCCCTCGCAGCCCTTAGACGCTGTACTTTTGGGTGTGTGATGTTAATCAGCAGATGACTTCTGTACAACAAAATGTACAACTCCTCCAGCTTTGCATTTTGCATGTTTCACCAGAGTCCTGTTTCTTATTAGCTATTTGGATGGAATACTCCCAATGAATAAATATGTTTTGCAACATTCATTGTGGTCATTTGGTGTCAGAGTTAGGATTTGTTTGGTTCTCCAAAAACAAGTGTTTGCTTAGTGTCAAGTTTTGTTTAGTCTCTGTTTCTGTGTCACAGCAATATCTGAGTAAGTTAAAGTCTGTGCAATCACTTTTTCCCTCATGGTTAATACCAGTTTCAGATGGCAAAGGTGGATGAATGATTATGTCTGTCAGAACCCTCCTGGGAGACCTGACAGAGTCCTGTTTTTAAAAATGGTGATATTATTCCATCTCCCAGCTGAATGGTTGTGCATGCTGCTGTATCTGATGCATTGCATTCCTAATGTGAGTGAGGTGTTTGCTTCAGACCTCTACCTCAATTAGTTGCCAAAAAAAAAAAAAAAAGGCACTATCTTGACTGCCATGCAGTTTGCAGTTTCTGCCTTGCTCCTTTTCTAAAGGAACACATTGCCTGCTGGAACATCTTCTAAAATATACCTGTTAGAACTAGTTGAACTTCCTTTCCCTAATGGGTGTGAAGACCCACTGAGAGTCATCACCTCATTTCCAGGAAGGTCTTAGGGGTGTGCGTGGTATATGCACAGGTATCCCTGTTAGAGAGATGAGGAATACAAAACATGTAGACAGAATCCACTCCTGATTCCTAGATTTGTCAGCAAAGAATAAGATGAAGAAATGGCATAGTCATGGGGCTTCAGTTGTTGTATCTTGAGAAATTTTGTGATTCCTGAGCTTAGCTGCTGGGGTAATGAGAAGCAGGATGTCTAGGCTAAAATCTGCACGTCTGTGCCCTGTCAAACCACATGAACATGAAGTGCATTTATTTGCCCTAGCTTTTAATATTTCTAGTGTTGCCATCAAAGTCTGAGCTATTGCCTTTTCTTTACTAGTCAGTGGAGATCAGCACCTCCAGACCTTGCTTAGGATACTCACTTAGAGAAGACAAGAATCTGAATTAGACCTTTTTTCCCACTAAGTATGAATTGAATTTGGATGATTAGCTCAGATATCCAATTTGTAGATGTCTAAATGTAATGCTGGGTGTTGGAGTTAGGCTCTATTAATCAGATGTACGTAAAGGAGATTTGGGTCTATGAAATATATAGGTAGATAGTTCCTATAATGCTGCTAATCACACTCTTTGTCATAGTATCATCTGGTACCTAGAAGGATGGCTTGAACAAAAATAACTTATTTGAAGGCTTTACAACGTTTATTTAATAGTAATTCTGCCTTGTTAATCTGGATTAAAATCTGCTTCCTTCCACTTGATGTTTTAGCTTCTGCTAAATAAAGACTAGGGTTTTTTTTTCCCAGTTTACAGAAAGTTTATATTACTAGCCTCTGGAAGATGAACCTAAGCAGGAAATATCTTCTCACTTCTTCTTCAGCTGAAAGACAGATCAGATTTCATTTCACGTGTCTTTGCATGAATCTATGCAGAAGGAAAAGTGAATTCCTAATGCTCTTGTCAATGATAAAGAGAGGTAGTGTTTTGGTATAATATTAGAAAAAAAATATGGTTTAAAAATTTGTAGCAGGGTTTGCGTCCCCACTTGCAGTGCATAAACCATGCCAATTTAGATGCTTCCAAGTAATATGACTGTAACAACACTGACTGCCTGCGTGCCTGGAAAGTGTTCCACTGTGATAAATTCTTGCATTGTTAAGATGAGTACAACCAACAAATTATAAGTTTCCTTAAAAAAATGGATTTGTAATATATCACCAGTTCACTTGGCACTAGAGAATTAGAGAGTCCTTTTCATGCAAGAGATTATAAAACATAACATGTCTTTCCAGCAACAAAGTTAGTTGTGCACAAGTGTGGATGCCAACAGAGAAATTAAAACTTTGGAAATTTCTGAATCAATTGCAAATGGTGGTTCTCACTCTCCAAAGAAAAGTAACTTTTATACTTTACTGGCAATTAGCTTTCTCCAGCCTTTAGAGACACTTTTATCCTGTTAGACTGCAGCACACAGATATATTGTGAACTCATAACAGGAGTGTGTGGTGCTGGCCTCCATTAAGAACAAATAGTAGGTTACAGCAGACTGAAACTGATTTCCCGATCCAAACATCTAATTCGTTTTTCCTTGTAACAGACAGAAATTGGCACTTTATGGACTTTTATGTGTATTACTAGTGGTTAAAGAGGAGGTAAAATACAAGGAATAAAAGTGTTTATCTTCATTACAAATGGTGACCCTTCTGTGAACCTTCTTAAGTCAAAACCAAACATTTTGCATTAGGAAAGATTTCCCATATTTTCTTCCTGCTTTTATCTCCCATCCTTCAATCATATCAGTGTATCAGTCTTTCAAATGTTGAAATAGCAATACAGGATGCTTCTGTAATGCAGAGCTGAATTTGAACAGCAGACCTTGAGTGGCTGGTTACAGATACTCATTGATGGGAAAGCCAAGATGATTAATAATACTGGGGAAGGCAGAAGGCAAGGATTCATCATGTCAAATTTTATCCATCATCAGTAGAGGACAACTCTAAGACTGTGCATCTGCGAGCAAACGCAGCAGCACTCTCTGGATCCCAGGTCTGGGTGTAGACTCTAGCAGCCTTGCAGCTCCACATTAGGGCAAAATGCATGGCTGCCCTATTATCACTCTAGATGCTGAGTCACTGTAGAAAATAGGAGAATATTTCTGCAAGACATTTCAACAGATCCCATTCTGGACACCAGCAAGTACTGAGGTACATAGTAATAAAGAACTTCACCTACAGGATTAGTACTATGGACTTAGTAGTATGGACTCCCTCCACAGCTGGTTACAAAAACAGGCATTTTCAGAGTGTAATTCCCAGTCTAATGTAGACATCTGCCAGAGACTGCATGAATAGCTTCCTAGAAATGCTGATGTTTCTCTATTTAACTATGAAGAACTTCAGGCTTGACAAGAGACTTATCTTACAGAGGGCTAGAGGTGAGTTAGATTAACTCCTGCTGAGCATTCAATACCCGAATTCTCCACAAACAGCCTTACCAAAGTGAATGTGACTATTAGAATTAAGGACTCATTTACTCACTGGGGGATGAGTAGGTGCTCACAATTTCACCCTGTTCCAGTGGCTTTGTGATCTGGTGGCAGTAATCATAAATTGTCATCATGTACATGTCTTTGTTGGTTTTCT